AAAAAAACCTTCAATTTTGGATGTTAATACTCAAATTTAGGTGTTTATCATCAAAATTCAGTGTTGACCGTCAATATTGGGTGTATGTTGAAATTTGACTGTCAACATTGGGTGTCAGTTGAGAGTTGAGCTCATTGTTGGGTGTCGGTTGAGTGTGACCATGAATATTCGGTGTTACCTTGGTGTAGATACTCAAATTTGGTGAATAGTTTAGTGTATACACCATACTATACACCGAATTTGATGGTCACACCCAACCGCTGTTTACTCTCAACACTTGTATATGACACTCAATAGATGAGTGTCTTAAACGGCTTAAACCTTTGAATGTCATTTTCAAAATTGAGTAGTGTACGAGTCACTTGAATGTTAATCTTTATGATTGAGAATTAACGTTGAAATGTTGATGCCGCAGATTCATTTATGAAAGAAATATATTTTAACTGTACGCGAAACATCTTTTTGACAAACTTTATCTAGGCTGCATTCGGAAACATCATCCGAATACCCCTATGTATCATTTTATCCTTATTGTTCATCTAATGTGAAACAAGGATAAGATGATACACGGAGGTACTCAAATGACGGTTTCCGAACGCAACCCTATGAGATATGTCACAGTTATACATCGACTAACATTCAGTGTTCTTGGATTATCGAAGCAGCAGTTCCCGTACGATTTTACAGAAGTTAAGCATCGTTGGATGGGGTACGAGATTGGATGGTGATGACCGCTTAGAAAGATAAGGAAATTACTTCCCAAATGAGAGAGAAAGCATTTTTTTTTCAATTATAATTTTGTCGTGTGTATTCCGGAATATGTTGCACATCAATAATATTATTTTAACAATAAAACAATTTAATTAATTTTATATAATAAAGCCATTTATTTTGATGGTTTTCTTTGGGCGTTAACCTTCAATTGAGTGTAACCTTCAGTTAACGATCCGAAATCACACATAATTTGAATGTTTTTTTAAGTGTTTAACACCCAAGTTTGAACGTTCTTTTTGAGCGTTTAACGCCCAAAATTGAGGGTTTTTTCGTAAGGGCATATTTAGTTAAAGGGGATTTTGTTTATATAATAATATTTTAGTGCAAATTTTACAATTTGCAGTTCAAGCAAACTGCGCACCGATTATTTGTTGGTTTTGAAACACAGTCGTAAACTAAAGTTGGAGTGCATATATCACAAACTAAATTAAATTCACATAAAAATAATATTAGGCACCAAAAACCCGCGTTGATATGGCTTTCTTATTTATTGAACATTATTTCTCGGTCAATTTCCATTTAAAATAGTAAAAGATATGCCGTTGAAATACCTCAGTACCAAACGCTGTGCCTGCAATTATCCCGACCGTTTGTCCAAGCATCGTAATAAACAGACAAATGCTCCACGTTTGTAGAATTCTATCATATTCCATTGGCTGTCCTGTCATATAGTATGATATAAATATGAATATTGATGTACAAAGTATCTAGAAAATAGATGATTCTTTAATTTTGATTTAAAAATGATAATTATATGTATTTAGTTTAATCTGATATAGTTAGTAACAAAGTTATAATGCTGCATTGAACATACTTGCATCAGAAGATCCGTTATTATTTTTACGCTATAATAGGATCTCAAAGAATACCAATTATTTAAATGTTCCTTTAAAAATACTGCCGCTTCTATGGGAACTACAATCAAATGCATTTTTATCACGATACAATTTATAAAATTCATAAAACGTGTTTATTATAATCTTAAACGCGGTAATATTGTTAAACGTCGAGAATATATTGTCAGAGATTTTTCAATTTTTTTAAAGTTATCTAAAATTAGAGTAATATATAATTTATGATATAATTTATTTAAGTACCTTGAATAAGTTCTCGCTGATTTTGCGTGAAAAGTAATGCTTTATTTTAAAAAAGTCGTAAAAAACATGTCACTGAAAGTATTGTCCATCGCTAGCCACTACTTTTTCCCATCTTTCTGGCAGCATTTGAATTCCACGTCGGAAAAACGATACGTCTTTTGAAGCTATCCAAGAGTCGACCCATTTTTTGGCATCATCATAAGAATGAAAGTGCTGCTCAGCCAGCCCATGTGCCATCGATCGGAATAGGTGATAATCGGAAGGGGCAATGTCTGGTGAATACGGCAGGTAGGGTAGGACTTCCCACACACACACATTTAAGCGTTTCCAAGTAGGTTTTCACCGATTGTGTAATATGTGGCCGTGCGTTGTCATGTTGCAAAATCACTTTGTCGTGTCTCTGCTCGTATAGCGGCCGGTTTTCCTTCAATGCTCGGCTCAAACGCATCAATTGTAGTCGATAGCGAGCTCCCGTAATGGTTTCGTTCGGTTTGAGCAGCTCATAATAAATTATACCCAGCTGATCTCACCAAATGCAGAGCAGAAGCAGAGCTTCAATCATGCATATTCGGCTTTGCCGACGATGTTAATGCATGGCCGGGCTTACCCCACGATCTTTTACGCTTAGGGTTATCGTAGTGTATCCACTTTTCATCGCCAGTCACGATACAATGCAAAAACCCTTTCCTTTTCTGCCGTTGAAGCAGCTGTTCACTGTGAAAAGACGCCGTTCGACGTCTCTCAGCTTCAACTCGTATGGCACCCAATGTCCTTGCTTTTGAATTATTCCTAATAATTTCAAACGTTTCGAAATTGTTGTGTGATCAACTCATAATGATTCTACAAGTTCAGCTAGCGTCTGATATGAGTCTTCATGCAGTAATGCCTTCAATTCATCGTCTTCAAACTTTTTCGGTGCGCCAGAGCGTTCTTTATCTTCAACGTCAAAATCATTACTTTTGAAGCATTTAAACCAATCTCTGCATGTTGTTTCCGACAGAGCATGGTCGCCGTAAGTCTCGACAAGAATTCTGTGTGCTTCAGCTGCAGATTTTTTTTTAATAAAGTAGTGCAGTAAAATTCCCCGCAAATACTCTTTTGTTGGCACGAAACTCGACATGTTTAACACTATGAAACAAAAAGTTGTTTACACTTCGGCGAGATGACAAACACTGAATTTCAAGCTTGCTTATTATAATTCCTTATCGATATGTTCCCATCTTCAACTACACGCACGCAGTTCTGTTAACCCATCCGTTGGAAAACAGCGAGAACTTATTCAAGGTCCTAATATTTGACAATAAAATCACATAATTAATATATTACGTTTATAAATAAGAAAAGAAGAATCTATATCACTTACACGTTTGCACTGTCCGTTCGGCATTCACAAAGAATAAAAATAACAGAAAGAAAAACAAGCAAGCGACGTTGCTATTCACTTTTTCCGCATCGTTACCGAAATTATAGAAAACTGTCCCTAATATCAGCGCGACGCCGATGTGCGTCGCAAGTCTTACTTTTGTCATGACCTGAAAAATTAATCAAAAAAACAATAGCATTTTAATTTTTCAAACAAATTAAAATATAACTTTAAATATTACTTTCGAAAATTTCTACTCACTGTATCTCGCTTTATGTAGATTAGAGCTCGTAAAAATAAAATTTTTTGCTGTTGCCATGTCGACTTTTCTTGTATTACGTTGTTTATTAGTGTACTTGTGTCATTTGTTTCACATTTTTGCTTGGGATCAATTGATGAATTCAATTCTATAAAAATATCAATTAATTATTACAAAAGTTATTAAGAATTATTTTAACAGTCATTAAAATTTGTTTCTCACAATTTTGTATAATATCCATAAATTATCTTGCTTTGTATTTTTTATTGAATAACATTAATTTTATGCCATACAAGGACAGTACTGAATGTTTAGCTGATTCAATATTTCTAAGAATTTTAATTTCTGTAAAGAATGTTATAGATATTCAATAGATAAAATTCGCTTTTGTTATTTAATTATCGTGAAGCATGATAAAAATATTAATAAATTAGTATAAATTATTAAAATGATTATTAATAAATTATTACGAATTAAAAAAATAATCGAGACATTTACCATTTTTATTATGTCTATGTAATTTAAATTTTTCGCATTCATCACGACAAATTTTGTATAGATTCTCCATGTCTCCATCCCTTTGCTTGGTTATTACCTCAAGCACTGTAATTAGAAAAACGCAATTAATATTGATTGTTTTCTTATTTATAACATGAATTTAAATTAGTTTAATTTCTAAAATAATTTTTAAAATAATTTTATAATTCAAAAATTTTTGCAACTATTTTAAAAAATACTTATTATGATCTAAATATGACTGAATAGATTTGTAAATAACACATATATGTTACGGCATATATATAATATATAAATTTTTATAAAGTTTATATATATAAATTTTTATAAATTTTGTCTTAAGAGTACATCTCCTTCAAGGATTTACATAAGTTAAAAAAATATTAAAATAATAATATTGTTACAGATAAATATAAATATTCATATTTCTTATTTTGATTCTTATTTAATAAATATTAAACTCACTAAGTATTAAATAAAAAAATAATAGTCTGCTATTTTTTTAAATTAGCAAAGAATAAAAATTTTTCAAAATTTGGAAAAGATTTTTAAAATAAATTTATAAAATTAAATTTACATAACAAAGATTAATAAAAGAAGAAATCGATTTTAAAGTTATAACAAATATATGAGAAAAATGCGTACAGCTCATCTATTCTATGTCAATATCCTTTTTCAAATTGTCCTGTCTTTCTCTTTTAATGTAATCACAAGATTCAGTAGAGTCAACATTACCAAATTCGGCTATGTTGTAGAAGCTGGGACACGTGAACCCGGCAATGCTGTACGTCTTTAAAATCTCGCTCTTTGGACCGCAGTACATACTTCTGCCTTGACTCAGTACCATAATGTCGTCAAAGAGCGAAATTATTTGGCTGCTGGGTTGATGTATTGCACAAATCACAGTGCAATTTGCTCTCGACATATTATGCAGCGTGTTAACGAGCTATTCAACATAAATTATACATTCCGATACATTACATTAAGAGCATTAAAATTTAACGTTATTACAAAACAGTGCATTATAACATTTCAGCAACATTTTGCGACATTCCAGTAAACGAGTTGACGTTATTCGTCATCATTTTGACATATTAAAATGACTTCAAATAATGTTAGCTGATTTGCTGAAATTGCTACGATATTATATTATTAGAATGTTCTGTACATTTGTGCAAAATTATTAACTTACAAAATATAATAGAAAATAAATATCGATTTATATTAATTAGGAATATACCGGATTGTAAAATTATCGGATACCGGGGATATCAGATTCTGAAAAGAAATGTGATATCGGATATACAATTCTCTATTCTATTTAAAAGAAAAAAGTAAAAAGGAAAGCAATTAAAAAAAATAGCGATAATAATTTTCTTTAAAGGTTTCAAAATGTTTCTTATTAAAATTTGGGGAGGTTATTAATATTTCTGATTGTGCTGAAAGTCTGAAAATAATCGGCGCGCAGTCATATTTCTGAGATAAATTTATTTAAAGAATATAATATACACAGAGAGAAAAATGTTTGGTATTTGTAACTATAATTATATATTACTATAATTATGATTATTACTGCTATAATAATAATAACAGTAACTATATATATAGTTCCAGCAACAAATGTATATAATTGGCAACCTAAAATGACTATAATTATAGTTGTTATAACCATAAAATAGTTGAAATTACCATAAAAATGATTCAAATGACTATAATTTTATAGTTATATTTTGGGACAACCATATTTTTTATGGTTCCAATACATCCCTAATATTATATAATTAATATTAAATAACGCTTTTGAAACGATCGTTAATAATATATAGCTGCATTTAGTAATCTATATAAGGTAAACGCCCTAATGTCTGGACATGTACCTATGTCCAAACACTTACACAAAATTTATTATTATAAGTTGTATTATTTATGAGAACCTAACGCTTAAACGTTAGACTACTGGGACATTTATTTTACCTGATAAGAGGCTGCACTGTCGAGACCGCTTGTTGGTTCGTCCAATAAGAGAATAGATGGTTTAGCGATTATTTCCACGCCGATAGAGAGTCTCTTCTGTTCGCCACCACTTAATTTGTTCGCTAATGTGTCTAGACAATTTGACAAACTGAGAGTTTCTGCTATATCGTTTACCTGATAGAAATAAATAAATAATATCTGATGTATAATGAGTCAATCTTTCACTCGCTACACATATGGTAAATTAAGCTAAATACTAGGAAAAATAATATGTATATACACTTCTTAGCGAAATTCGAGATCGAATAGTTCTGAGCGGCTCAACAGCTTTATTTCGTGAATATCTAGAGTTCCTGATACATAAAAAACAATTTTGACACACTAGAAAATTTATAAAAAAAATAAAAAATTTTTAATCACTTCTTGAATTTCACATATCTTGAAAATCGTTGGTCCAATCGCTTTGTCACCTGATACTTTCGATAGAACTCGTTGAGAACTGCTCAAAACGATAATCAGAACTACTGGAACTCTTAAAAAATTTTTCGACGTCGGATTTAGAAAATTTTCAACCACCTGTCAAATATCTCATATTTCGCAAACCGTTGGTCCAATCGTTTTGTTACCTGATACTTTTCGATAGAACTCGTCGAAAACTACACAGAACTCTAATCAGAACTACTGGCACTCTCAAGAAATTTTTCGGCGTCGAACTTAGAAAATTTTCAACGCTAGAGCTCAAATGTCGCGTATCTTGAAAACCGTTGGTTCCATCGCTTTATCATTTAATACTTTTCGATAGGGCTCATCGAGAGCTACACATAACTCTAATCAGAACTACCGGCACTCTTAAAAAAATTTTTAAGAGTTCCAGTAGTTTTAATTATCGTTTTGGGCAGTTCTCGACGAGTTCTATCGAAAAGTATCAGATGACAAAGCGATTGAATCGTAAAGGTATAAGCATCATGGTGTAACGAGCTATTGAATAAATGTTTCCATGAATGAAATCATTAATTAATGGCGGAGATATTAAGAGAAGCTATTATATCTACAAGGCCATAAGACCGTCTTGTCCTCTATGTATATTTGAAATGTACGCTTGAAATTTTTCTTTCTTATTTACAGGTCTGTTTTCTGTGGCTGAACTAGTGTACATTTTTGCAATTTAAAATGAGATAGGTATATGTTTGATATTTGTCAAAAGCGAGAAAGAGAGTTCTAGTGCAATCTAGTGCAATCTAGCAGGAACAGAAAACAGATCATATATTTTACTTACAACTGAACAAATCGCTTCTTTGTTCTGATTAACGTCAAGTTTCAGTTGAGCCGCTATACATAGAGTTTCTCTAGTTGTGAGGAACGGTAATAGATCCAATTGTTGCGGCACATAGCACACCTGCTTTCGGAATGTCCCTTTATTCCGTTCAACACCGTTTATGGTGATAATGCCCTTAATGTCGGTCAGTCGTTTACCCGATATGATTTTCAGCAGAGTGGTCTTTCCCGCACCAGAAGGACCGATTATCACCGTGACCTTTCTCCGTTCGAAGTATCCCGTTACATTATGTAAGATCGTTTTCTCAGTCCCTATAGAATAGTAGACTAAAAGTCTAAGATTTTATAGAACAGATTTCATCCTCAAACCCATCAACATCAGTAAGTTTTGTCAAAATCCGAAACGTTTTTGAAAATGGCTGGTTCACACACACACCTTCACATGCCTTATCTACTATATCAACTATATGCATAATTCATTTAAACTGCATCCCGAATTAATTTTTTTGAAAAGCAGGGCTAAATTACTTTTAAAATTGTAGTAACATCACACACACACAATTAGTTCGAAAAATCAATTCGACGCGCAGTTCAATTATTACATATACATATATAGTATATAAATTCATATGCAATTATTTAAGCACTAAAGTTTTGACCGTTATATAGGCTTTATTTCCTATTGGTTGTGTATTCACATGTACGGTCCAATAAGATTCTTATTGTTTATATATATATACAATATTACTAAAATAAAGATGTTCGTTTTCGTACATATACTACGAATATTACAAAGGTCTCGATGATCTAAAGGCTTAGGACGCTCGCACGGAATGCGAGAGATCCGGATTTGACGCCCGGTCGAAGTAATATTTTTCGCAATAAATAAATATACTCACAGATTTCCAACATATTAAGGTCTCTTTAATAGATGCCTATTGAGTATCAAATTTAATTGTGATATTACTACAGTAATTTGTCTGCGTTTCTAAATCCGAAAAATCAATTTGACTTACAGTTCAAATGACTACATACGATTAAATGCCGATCGACATTTAAACTGCGTGAGAGTTAGTGAAGTAATGGAGGGGAACCAAACTGAAAATCGGCTGAAAGTTGCAAATAAATTCCAGCACTGGTTTAGACAGCCATTTGTAATCCATCATGCGATAATATTAGTGCATTGAACCGCGCACTAATATTGTCGCATAATAGATCATTAATTAGCACGCTCACTAAAACCTGATCTAGGTTTTAGACTCGCAGAACGTGAGTTGCAAGATTGAACGCAACATGATGCATTTCAAGTTGTAATAGACTACAGGATGTAGAACGCAGAATACATTGAAGTTGGATAAACTTCAACTTTTGCGTCATGCGTTCTGCATCTTGAGAAAAGATGACGATCAATTGAGAAACAATTGACCATCTGCTGAAAACAAAAGAGAGCAGTAATCTTGAATTAAATAAAATTATTAAAATTTTAAATTATTCAATTTGTTATAGATTCTAGAATTTTTGCTTTGAATGCTTTTACAAAGATGCTTATTATATTTTCCACACTGAGAGAAAACAAAATAGTTCCAGCAACTATAAATTTGGCAACTTTTGCAATTGAAGTACCTGTAACTAGTTTTACAAAGTAATAGAAACTAAAGTAGTGCTGAATATTATAAAAATATAGTCACGGTAACAAATTGTATGCACTATTAATTGGTAGTGAAGTAGTGACTCAACTACATTGAGTAGTTACTTGGACTTCATGCAAATAGATATAACAATTACATTTTTCTAGTTTAGACAAAAATTTTTAAAGGG